CTCCCTGGGGGATGGACAAGAGAAAAGTGGGCGAAGGGAGACATTGGAGAGTCTAAGACATGACAAAATAATAATAATTTATAAATTATCAAGGGGGGGCGAGGAAGGGGGGAAATGAGGAGCTGATACCAAGGGCTCAAGTAGAGAAAATGTTTTGAGAATGATGATGGCAACAAATGCACAAATGTACTTGACACAATGGATATATGTATGGATTGTGATAAGAGTTGTACGAGCCCCCAATAAAATTATTTCCAAAACAAATAAAAGAGACCAGGCTTCCTGGTGGAACAAAGTCTACTGGGAATACCAAGACTAATACCTGTTTCCCCTCAGGACTAGCACTGAACTCATTTCCACGTTAGAATAATCAACTATCCGAGAGCAAAGGGTAACATTTACCTTAAAACAAAACTCAGGGGCTTAGGGAAGAAGAAGGGATGGAAACAGGAAGTGCAAGGGCACACTGAGGGAACTGCAGTGATGAACTGAATCCAAGTGGTTTCAACTGTTGAATGGAAAATTAACGTCTGCTCTGTAACCCTCCTCCCAATTAACAATCAAACTTAAAAAAATTTTAAAGACAGGGATAGAAAGACCACAAAACTAACCACTGAGATTTTTCTCAAGAAATATATCTTGTGATGGAAGCATTTAAAGATAAAGAAGAACTAGCCCATACATATGAAGGTAAGTAAAAAAAGTACTGCTTCAAGAAAAACAAGTATCGCTACAAAATCATAGGAGCCTTTCTTGAACCAAAATGTCAACATGTGGCGCTAATGCTTCTCAACACTTAGGTAGGTACACTTCTGAGGAGGTGTCCCTCCCTCTAATCTGCCCTAGAGGAACGTTGGTGGCACTGTGGGCTGCTAACCACAACCACAAATGCAGGACATGCAAAAACAATTTTAAACAGGCTGTTTTAAAAAAGCCTGGGAAGATCTGAGAAACAGCCATCGGGCTGTTCCCCGCAGGTCAGCGGTTTGAAAGCACTAGCCACTGCGTAGGAGGAAGCGGAGGACACTGACACAGGCAGGTCTGCTCTGTGCTATGGGGTCACTATGAGTCAGAATCAACTCAGGCAGTGAGTTTCTTTTAACCCCATCCTCAGGAACGCTGAGCTTCCCCACTTGTCGCTGTTGTAGGTGCCATCGAGTCCGTTCCATCTGGCAGTGACCCTGGCAGCCTCAGAACACAACACTGCGTAGTTCCATGCCAGGCCCGAGTGTCGCTATGTTTGAGCTCACTGCTGCAGTCAACGTCTCAATCCAGCTCCTTGAGGGTCATCCTCTTTTCTGCTGACCCTCCACTTTATCACGCATGATGTCCTTCTAGACACTGGTCTCTTCTGATAACATGTCCAAAATATGTGTGATGTAGTCTCATCATCCTCTCTTCTAAGAAGCTTCTGGTCGTTACTTCTTCCAAGGCAGATGGGTTGGCTCTTCTGGCAGTCCACGGCATTTTCGATATTCCTTACCAACAACGTAACTCAAACGCATCATTCTTCTTCAGTCCAACTTGCACGTGATGTGAGATGACTGAAAATATGACGGCCTGGGTCAGGTGCACCTTGTTTTCAAAGGGACATCACTGCTCTTCAACACTTTAAGGAGTTCTTGTGCAACAGATTTGTCCAAATGTGACACACACTGTCTGATTTCCTGCCTGCTACTTCCATGAACACTGACTGTGGATCCAAGCAAAATGAACATTTTGACAACTTTGATCTTTTCTTCGATTCACACCATGTCAGAGAGCACCTACAGACTGTGAAAACAAATGGGTAACATGCTGGATAAGGAGTTAATCTAAAATTTACAGAAAACTTCAACACACAGGCAAATAACCTAATTAAAAAATGGGCAGAGGACATGAGCAGACACTTCATCAAAGATGGCATTTGGCCAACAAACACAGGAAGAAATGTTCCTAAGCAGTCATTAGAGAGATGCAGCAAATCAAAACAAGCTATCACCTCACCCCAGAAATAATAGCCAAGTTTAAAAGCAAAACCAAAAACAACCAATGCTGGCAAGAGTGTGTAGAGACTGGGCCCCTGGGACCATGAAAAGGTACCATCACTGTGGAAAACAGTATAGCATTTCTTTCAGATGTTGGAAATAGAAATATCGTATGATCCAGCAACCCAACTACTACAAATCTATCCAAAAGAAATAACAGCCGTTGACACGAACAGCAAGTTCATCATAGCATTACTCACACTAACAAAAATAAGTGGATAAATTAAGGCACACACAAAT